AGTACGACAGACAACTCCTGTGGACTTTGGACAGTGGTGCAGCATTGCATGTTACCTACAGAAAGGAACTTTTCACAGAGATGCACGAGCCTGAACCAGAACTACGTGAACTTTATTCTTTTTCAAATCATCCTTGTCAGGTCAAAGGAAAAGGAACTGTTTATGTTGAAGAGCTCGATGCATTCATTCCTGATGTTTATTACATACCAACAGCAACCTGTAATTTGCTTAGTCAGTGTCACTTGTCTAGAATGTTAAAGTTCCAAGTTCACCACCTTGAAAAAGCAAGTTACATAGTTAAAGATGGAGATATTGTTGCTGAAACCATATTAATTGGTGGTGTTTATTACTTAAAGCCAAAGCCTAAAACACAAACACAGGCAAGTATGCAAACTCCAAAAAGGGAGAGCACAGGCCCAGAGAGAGATGCTCCACAGAGAGATCCTGTTGCTATTCCTAAGGCTCCTAAAGCCAACAAAAATAGAATTGGTAAACAGGTTGCTCAGAGCAAGCCTGAGGTTCCGCATAAAAATGTTAATGTTGAGAATTCACTAACTGGTAAACCATTGCATTCCAGGTGTATCCACAAATGGCATAGAAGATTGGGGCATGCCAGTTTCCATGTTCTTAGGAAGATGCCGGAGTTCGCAAAAGGTTTGGATCTAAAGGGGTGTAAGGTGTTTTTGGATTGTGCTGTCTGCAAAAAGGCCAAATCCAAAGCAGCAGCCATTCCCAAACACGCTACACGCCTGTCAACACGCATTTTTGATTTGGTTCACATTGACATAGTTGGTCCTTTCCCGCCATCATTTGGTGGTAGAAAATATTTTCTAACAATTGTTGATAATTACTCTAGATATGGATATGTATATCCTATGAAAGAAAAATCAGAGACTTTTCAGATCTTTAAAGACTTTGCAACCCTTGTTTCTACCCAACATCAAGTTCGCATCGCCAGAATCCAGAGTGATCGTGGTGCCGAATTCATGTCTCAGCGTTTCCAGGACTGGATGCGTAAGAATGGAATTATTCATCAGACTTCAGCTCCTTACACACCGGCTCATAATGGAGTCGCAGAACGAAGACAAGGGGTCCTGCAAACCATCATGCGTTGTCTCCTAGAAGACGCCAACCTTGATATGATATACTGGGGTGAAGCTATAAAATATGCAAATTACATTGTCAACCGTACTTGGAGCAGTGTAACAAATCAGACTCCTTTCTTCATGTTGTATGGCTACAAGCCTGATTTTAAAAACATCCATATTTTTGGTTCATATGCTATGGTGAACATTCCCTTAGCTCAAAGAAGAAAAGGAAGTCCAGCAGCAAAGAGACTGAGATTTATGGGTATTGATGATAACTCAAATTGGAGCAGATTTATTGACTCTAAACATGCAATTGTGATTTCCCAATCTGCTAATTTTGAAGAAGATATTGACTGGTCCAGGATTCATTCCAATGATCCTGGAGTTTATTTTCCTAGAGATGATACTGCTGATGCCACGCAGATTGATGATCAAGATTCCACTGATTCCTCTCAACCCGATGTTCCGTCTTCGCAAGCCGCGGATGCTGACGCTAGCGACGAAAGTGAGGACGAGGACGAAGAAGAAGAAGACTGGACAGTTGTTCCGAGACGTTCCAAGAGGGTCACAAAAGGAATCCCTCCACAACGATATTCTTGGCAACTGACAAAAGCACCCTTGCCTTTGATTTGCAATGTTACACTTCCACCTGATAATTTCACACAAATCAAGCAGCTCCCTGATTCGGAGCAAGACAAATGGTATGATGCAATGCAGGTTGAAATGGACAGTCTAAAGAAACTTAAAGTATTTACACCTGCAAAACCTCCAGCAAACAAAAAGGTCATTGGCACTCGATGGGTCTACAGAATCAAAAAGAAACCAAATGGTGAGTCACTGTACAAGGCCAGACTTGTAGCTCAGGGTTTCGCTCAACGTTATCCTGAGGACTACACAAATACTTACTCACCGACAGTCAGAACTGAGAGTGTAAAAATTGCTTTAGCAACTGCAACTATCCTTGGTTTAGAAGTTTTCCAGTTTGATGTTGACATGGCTTATCTACATGAAGACCTAGACGAAGAGATCTACGTGAGAAGTCCTCCAGGATTCCAACAGCAAGAAGGGGATACTTGGTTCCTAAACAAAAGTCTTTATGGTCTGAAACAATCTGGTCTAATGTGGTATTTATGTCTTACTGACAAACTAAATTCAATGGGCTTTATTAAGTCCGAAACTGATGAGTGCGTGTTCACAAAAAGATCTAACAATGCATATGAGATAGTTCTTGTTTATGTTGATGATATTGTTTATATTGGTCCAAATAAGCAAATGAGTGAAATTTTTGCCAAAGCTTTGCAGAGATACTTCACATTGAAATCATTAGGTCACATTAGCACTTATTTAGGTGTTCAGATTGAAAAGACACAGAAGGGGTTTAGTCTTTCACAAGAAGATAAAATTGAACAAGTTTTGCATCATTGCAACATGAAAGATGCTAACACAACAAAGACACCCATGCAAACAGATTTTCACAACTTGACACAAGAAGAAAGTCCTGAGTTCGAGGATCAAACACTTTATCGTTCAGTCATTGGGTCATTGTTGTACATTAGTAGTTGGACCAGACCTGACATTGCACTTAGTGTTAATCTCTTATCTCGACATGTAGGGAAAGCAAAACAGTTTCATTGGACATGCATTAAGAAATTATTGAGATACCTAAAATACACCAAACACATGAAGTTATTGTTAGAACCAACATATACTGATTATGTAGAATTATGTTGTTATGCAGATTCTGATTGGGCAAGTGATAAGAAATCACGCAAAAGTACTTCAGGTTATATGATGTTCTTAAATGGATGTCCTGTTTATTGGCAAGTACGTAAACAAAATTTTGTTTCTTGTTCATCTACTGAAGGTGAATATGCTTGTGTTTCAGATGCATGTAATTCTCTAACTTGGTTTGATGCTTTAGTCACAGATATCTGGACACACCCAATCTGACCGATCACCGTGATGGAAGACAATGAATCGGTGGTTTATATTTCTGAATCTCATTTTACAGGTTCTAGGTCCAGACACATTGACATCCGTTATCAAAACATAAAACATTTAGTGAAAAAAGGTTTTGTCAAAATGCAATATGTATCTACACATGATCAAATTGCTGATATGCTCAACAAACCACTTCCAGCAGCTCAACACGAGTATCTGCGTAAGAAGATGTGCCTTATTTGATGATGTACTGATATTCGCTCAACTGGCAAAGAAGGGGAATGTCACTGCGTTATTTTATTTGCCAGCTGAACTCATAATTTCTGGACTATCAGACTTTCCGTACCTTGCCAAGAATTGTTATCAAAAGCTACTACGCATGTCCATCCACCCACATTCCTTTCACACACTCTTTCCTTTGTTCTCATGCCACAGGAGTGCCGGTTGCTGTGAAAAGCAACTAGCCCGAATTACTTTCAAAAATGTAGCAATTAACTTTTCTTAGTTAGTGAGGTGTTTTATTTTCTTTATAACAAATAAATGAGTTTTATTAGAAACTTTTCCTCGCGTTTCTTTTCAGAATATGGCAACTTGGAATAAGCCACGATCCATCTCCTCTAAACCAGGGTAATTAGTCCCAGAGCCAAACATGGGATTAATAAATGCCCTGACACACCTACCATCTGGAATGAGCTCCCCCCAGAGATACGGAAGATCCCGGACCTGCGCACGTTTCGCCGTGCTCTCAAAACTTTTCTATTTCAGCAAGCTGGCCTGGCCTAACTACCATCTTTTAAATTTTTCAATTTTTTAATTCGTGATTTTACAAGTTGGGTGTTTTAATCTGTGTTTCGGCTGAAATATTTAATAATTTTAAGGGATTTTTTTTAATATTTGTATTATCTGTATTTTATCTTGGCTGTTCACCGCCCTGAGTCCTTTGGGAGTAGGGCGGTATAGAAATTTGATTAATAAATAAATAAATAAATAAAATAAACAACAAGCCCAACTGAACCTGAAGAGATTGTTTAAGCAATCTATACGCCCTATGAGGCAGTAAAAAAGGGAGGAGTGGGTCTCTCTGTCTCTGTCTCTGTCTCTGTCTCTGTCTCTGTCTCTCTCTCCCTCCCTCCCTCCTCCCCCTCCCCCTCTCACCATTTCACTTCTAGGAACTGATTGTGATGATTAAATGAGGAGAGTATATATAGCACCTAAAGCAGGGGTAGATAATTTTAGATATTCACACGTTGTTGCTCTAATTCTCATCTGTTCTAATCAATACAACTCTTATGATAGAATTTTCAGTCCAACAACATCTGGAGAATCAAGTCTTGCCCTTCCAATTTAAAAGTCTCTCTTTGGTGTTCAGCTTAAAATGTGTTAAGAGATATGCAAGTACAGGTAGTCCCTCATTACAATCATTTGTTAAGTGACTGTTCAAAATTATAACGACACTGAAAAAGTGACTTACAACCTGTTCTTGCTGTAACAACTGTAACAGCATCCCCCGTGGTCACTTGATCAAGGGTTCGGCGCTCTGCAACCAGCATATATTTATGACAGTAGCAATCCTGGAGTCACATGATCACCATTTATTATACACAGTCAGAATCCCTCTGTGAGGCATTAAAGTTGTGGTTTTAATTTAATTTAATTTAAAATAGTGGTTTAAAATGTGAAAAATAAATAACTTTGCAACCTTCCCAGCTGACAAGCAAAGGGGAAGCTGGAGTCACTTAACAACCATATGATTCATTCAACAATTGCAGTGATTCACTTAACAACCATGGCAAAGAAGGTGTAAAATTGAGCAGAAGTCACTTAACAACCACCTTGCTTAGCAATGGAAATCCCAGTCCCAATTGTGATTATAAATTGAAGACTACTTGTATCATAATTTGTTCAGAGTGGTGACTATGAACACCAATTATATACTAGAAAGCAACAGAAAAAATATTGAAGGATACATACCTGCCAGTGCTACTGTATGTCCTCCTCCGCAGGCAACCTTATTAACTCTACTTGGAATTCCAGAAACAAGCTGTGGGACTCTATTGTTTTTCAGTTGTTCAAGTGACAAACCTAGTTTCCCATTGTCAGACTCCCCAAAAGTATAAAGTTCTCCATCACCTGTAGGAAAGAAAGTGGGAACATTAAGATTCATGACAGAGAGAGAAAAGACATTCATTTGTGGAATACTTTATGCAGACTTTATTTGTTATACTTGTATTATCTTCTGAACTATGCTAACTTCAATGTCTATGGAGATTCTCAGTCATCCAGGTCATGGTTGTCCCAAAGATGCAACTGGACTTCCTAGTTTTTCTTTGAAGATGTTCTCATCCAAGAAACTTTTTCAGCTATGCTAACTTCAACTTTTTGAAAAATAAACCATGTAATGCTAAGCATCACAAACACTTTCTGGAGAGATCAAGAAGAAATCCTTCATTAGGGAGATCGACAGGCAGACATTTACCAACAGCAAGAAGCCATGCCACTATGGAAATACCTGGAAACTCTGTGAATGTGATTCTTCCCACAGCTATTGCCAAATTCTGAAGCAGAATATGGGGTGGGGGGAGCAATGTAGAATATTAGTTTTGGGTTTTTAGATCCAAGGATTTTTTTTTTATTTCTTGGGAAAGCTCAAAATTTCCTATTATCCTCTAGATCTTGAATTAATAATCCACTATCTGTGAAACTAGAGAATATTGAAAATCAGAGATGCAAAACAGACTGCTTTTTTGTCTTGACTATCATAAACTATTAGGACTTTATAAATGGTAGAAAAATATTACCTTTACTCCACCGTCTTAGCCCATTTAAGACTGCTCTAAAAGTGATTGATATACCACTTGATCAGCACCATACAGCACTGCAAATACAGGATTTCAAGCCACAGTATTGGACTTTGAACATACAGGTATATAAGTAATTTTACACTTACATGTTATTAAGGCAGAATGATAATATCCACAAGAGATCCAGAAAACAGGTTTCCCAACATCCACTTGATGAGGAACACATGCATTAGCTTCATTTCCCAAGCCTATTTGGCCTTCGGAGTTGTCTCCCCACATAAAAAGTTGTCCATCCTCTTAAAAATAAGAAAGATTATTATTGTAAAAAACCTCCAAATTATTTAAAGAAGCAAAGTCTAAGGAAATGAGGTTTAAAGCAATGGAGACTAGAAAAGAAACTTGTAGTACAAAGGGAGAGAAAAGGTTCAGAAACAATAGAAGTTCCCAGTTTATATTCTCATAGTCAGTGAGTTACATTTGAAAGATAACTGCAAATTGTGAGTTTTCCATCTCTGAAATTATTTCTCTCTTACATCAGTCAAAACTTAAATAAATTTTACAAAGAAGGATACAATATTTAGAAGCATTTCTCTTATAACTAAGACACTGGGGTGGTCACTTCATTAAGTTACTTATAATCTTGTAAAGATCCTACACATACTACTTTATGTGTGTCTGGAAAAAAGAGTTCATTCATCTTGGAAAAGACTTTAAATGAATTTGGGATTATTATTATTATTATTATTTGCATTTTAAAAGCCAGGTCAACACTTGTAAAGCAGAGATAAATTTGTTAGCATAAACAAATTGTGCTAACATTATTGTTTCACATGCATAATTCAGTGACATCTTCTATATTATGGCAGGGTACAGTATTGGGGATATAGTGTGACACAGATTTAAGTGTACTCATTACAGATAACTGCAAAATAAATAAACAGTGTGTCCAGGCCAGTGGTGGGTTGCTCCCGGTTCACACCGGTTCGTGAGAACCGGTAGCGATAATTTGGCCTTGGTTACTGAACTGTTAGCCACAGCTGGGGGACCACGCCCCTGAACAGGTTGCGTGGTCATCGCTCACTTGCTCCGCCCGCCCGCATGATGCTCGCACGATGCACGCTCGATGCTCACTTGCCCATTCAAAGTTTGTCCCGCCCATTCCATATATATATATATATATATATATGCATATTCTTTCTAGCCAGGTTTTACCTACGTAAACTTAGTTGTTCTACAGCCCTAGGTTCTGTGAAATCTCATTCACAAGTTTCTGGGCCTTTTTTTTCTTTTCTGCTGACAAACTGCAACTCTGTGTTGCTCTCTGGGAGACTCAGATAGCTATTTCTGCCTCTTAAGGCGTCTTCGGTGAGCCACACCCACTTCTCAAATATCCTCCCTGTAAAGGTATAATGTATCTTTTTTCCTTTTTCGTAGGCTTTTATGTGCATATTCTTTCTAGCCAGGTTTTACCTACGTAAACTTAGTTGTTCTACAGCCCTAGGTTCTGTGAAATCTCATTCACAAGTTTCTGGGCCTTTTTTTTCTGCTGACAAACTGCAACTCTGTGTTGCTCTCTGGGAGACTCAGGTAGCTATTTCTGCCTCTTAAGGCATCTTCGGTGAGCCACACCCACTTCTCAAATATCCTCCCTGTAAAGGTATAATGTATCTTATCCTACGAAAAAGGAAAAAAGATACATTATACCTTTACAGGGAGGATATTTGAGAAGTGGGTGTGGCTCACCGAAGACACCTTAAGAGGCAGAAATAGCTATCTGAGTCTCCCAGAGAGCAACACAGAGTTGCAGTTTGTCAGCAGAAAAAAAAAAGGCCCAGAAACTTGTGAATGAGATTTCACAGAACCTAGGGCTGTAGAACAACTAAGTTTACGTAGGTAAAACCTGGCTAGAAAGAATATGCACATAAAAGCCTACGAAAAAGGAATATATATATATATATATATATATATATATATAGATATATATATATATATATATGTCTTCTTAGTTTTCGCGAGTGTGTATATGCAAAAAAAAATTAAAATCTCGGGTGTTTTCCCACGTCATGTTAAATAAGTTAGTTAAAATGTTCAAAATTCTGGTTAAAATCCTAGCTTAAAATCTTCCAAAAATCCTTACAGAGCACTCTGCAAGGTCCTTTAAAAACCTTAGCTAAAATCCTACCAGTACCTTAAAAGTTTTTTCTTTCTAGCAACGTTTCGACAGGCTCACAACCCTGTCATCTTCAGGCTCTTGTTTAGTTAGAAGCTATGGGTGTGTTGCGAGGTCGGAGCTGTCACTTTTCTATGTTTGCTGCTGCTGACGTATGCTGGTTAGCCTGTAACTCTGTGTCCTGATTGGAGGACAGCAGTTTTTCTTCCTGCTTCCTCATCCTGGCTGTTTGGCTACGTGTTACAGGCCTAGCTTTCTCAGGTTCTCTATCATTATCTGTCTGCTGTAGAGGGGAAAGGATTCTGGTAGGCATCCCAGCACCCTTGATTGTTAGTTGAGATCTCAGCCTGTCTTCTGGCTCGATCCTCTCTCTCTCCCTATTGCTAGCCACCCTCTGCAAAGAGGGAAGAATTCTGGCAGGCCTTACAACACCACTGGTTGCTTGTTGGAATCTCTGCCTCTCTTCTGATGTTAACACTCGAGTTTCCCTAAGTGCAGGTCCCCAAATACTTGATAACCTAGAGGCGTCGTCTCGTCTGTTCGTATTCTGTGGCCTCTTTTCAATTTCGATGGCCTCCCTGATTATTCTTTTGTTGAGATGTTCCTCTTTCGCCACTATTCCGGTTTTATTAAAATCAATATTGTGTCCCATGGCTTTCATGTGTTGTACTTCTTCTGGCAACATCTAATGTTTGTGTAGTATTATTTTAAGCAGACTGTGTTTTTCTATTGTTTTTGACTTAGATGAAGTTCAGAGCACATTTTATGACCAATTCATGCAAAAGTTCACATACTTTTTCTTGCAACTGTGTGTGTGTGTGTGTGTGTGTGTGTGTGTGTGTGTGTGGGTATATATATATGTTTTTCTTCTAGCCAGGTTTTCCCTACGTAGCCAAGGTTTTTTTGTAGCTGGGCGCAGGCGAATTCAGTGGAGCAGAATGGACAGGTATATATATACATATACATTACATATACATATACATATACATATACATATACATATACATATACATATACATATACATATACATATACATATATATATATATAATATATACACACACACATACATACATACATGCATACATACATACATACATACCTGTCCATTCTGCTCCACTGAATTCGCCTGCGCCCCAACAGAGCTGCTTCCTCCCACCTACAGGTAAGCATAGCCGGCCCGATCCCCAGCTCCCCCTAGCCAGCCGGAGCTTGCTTGGAGCCCTGCTGGCCGGTAGGCCCAATCCCCAACCTCTATTAGCCAGAGGGAGCTTGCTTGGAGCCCTGGTGGCCGGCAGGCCGAATCCCCGGCCTTTAGTAGGCTTCGCGACCGCCTCAGCTCCATCCCAGGTGGCCTAATGTTTCCACTGTCCCTCCAGCCCCCAACCTGCCTTACCTGCCTGCCTTGTACAGCCTCCAGCCTTCAGGAGCCGAATCCTGTGCGTCTGGCAGGCAGACCTGCCTGGCTTGAAGTGGAATGGGCGTTGGCTTACCTGAACGCTTCTTCTCGTTGTTCCGGCTACAGTGGTCAGGATTGGGTAATGCCATGATCCAGTTATTGATTGAGTCTGCATAGCTGAGAAGCTCCTCCCCTTTGTCCTGCTTCCCAGCTTTCTGATGAAAGACGACGACGCAGACAGGCACTTTGAGCTGTAAAACAAGGGAAGAGACAGATCCACAGAAAACTTCCCACCTACGAGGGCCCAGACAGGGAGGGGCTGACCACTGTAGCCGGAACAACGAGAAGAAGCGTTCAGGTAAGCCAACGCCCATTCTCGTTGATCCCGGCTCCAGTGGTCAGGATCGGGACATGCCCAAGCAGAACCCTATAGGGAGGGACTAGCCCGAGCAGGTGGGGAAGGAACCCGGAGCACCTGTTGGAGCACCCTACGTCCGAAGGCCGCCTCGGCCGAGGCGAACCGATCGAGACGATAGTGTCTGATGAAGGGAGTGGGGGAAGTCCAGGCGGCAGCCCTGCAGACTTCCTCTAAGGATGCCTGGGTGGCCCACGCCGCTGAAGTGGCAGCGCTACGTGTGGAATGGGCTGTAATGTGCCGAGGCACCGGAAGGGAGAGGACTTCATACGCCTTGGCGATGGTAGCCCGAATCCAACGGCCCAGAGTGGCCGATGAAACTTTCCTGCCGAGGGAAGAAGGTTGAAATGAGACCAGGAGAGATTCCGACTGGCGTAGGGAGGAGGTCCGTCGCAGGTAGATGCGAAGGGCCCGCCTGACGTCCAGGGTATGCCACGCCCTTTCTCGGGCGTGGACGGGATTGGGGCAGAAGTCAGGGAGCACTAATTCCAAGGACCTATGGTAAGGAGAATTGATCTTGGGAAGAAAGGTGGGGTCCAATCTGAGGACCACCCTGTCGGGGTGAAAGATACATAAGTCCTCCCGAGCTGAAAGGGCCGCCAAATCGGAGATCCTCCTGGCCGAAGTAATGGCCAGGAGGAAGGCTACCTTATAAGAGAGAAAACGAAGCCCAACTTCCCTTAGGGGCTCAAACGGAGCTCTGGTAAGAGCCTCTAGGACCCGGGGAAGATCCCAGGTAGGATATCTATGAAGAGGGGCCGGGCGAATGTTGGAGGCCCCCCTGAGGAACTGCCTAACTAGAGGGCGGGAGGATAGGGAGGTCCGGGAGCCACAGCAAAGGATAGAGGAGAGAGCAGCTACTTGCCTGCGGAGTGTGTTGGGTGCCAAACCTGAGTCAAGACATCCTGCAGATAGATGAGCACCTGCTCCGTAGAGGCTGCCGTAGAAATGATGGAGTGGCTGTCGCACCAAGATGAAAAGGTCCTCCAGGTGGAGTCGTATATGCGAGTAGTCGAGGGTCTACGGGCTGCCTGGATGGTGGCGACGACTCTGGGAGGAAGACGCCGGGAGCTCAGCAGACGCCGCTCAATCGCCAGGCGGTTAGCTGCAGCCATGCGGCGTCCGGATGAAGAAGTGAGCCCTGGCGAAGGATGACTTTGTCCGGGGGAAGGCGCCAGGGAGGCCGAACCGAGAGAGCCTTCAGGTCCGCGAACCAAGGCCTGCGAGGCCAATGGGGGGCGATTAGCAGCAGCTCCGCCTTCTCTTGTAACATCTTCCTGATGACCTTGGCCACGATGGGGAGAGGAGGGAA